TGTCCATCGACAGATGAATGGATAAAGAAGATGTGGTATATATATACAATGGAATATTATGCAGCCATCAAAAAATATGAAATCTTGCCATTTGCAACAACGTGGATGGAACTGGAGGGTATTATGCTAAGCAAAATAAGTCAATCAGAGAAAGACTGGTATCATATGATCTCACTGATATGAGGAATTTGAGAAACAAGACAGGATCATAGCAGAAGGGAGCAGAAAATGAAACAAGACGGAACCAGAGAGGGAGACAAACCATAAGAGACTCTTAATCTCAGGAAACAAACTGAGGGTTGCTGGAGTGGTGGGGGGTGGGAAGGATGGGGTGGCTAGGTGATGGACATTGGGGAGGGTATGTGCTATGGTGAGCGCTGTGAATTGTGTAAGACTGTTGAATTACAGACCTGTACTTCTGAAACAAATAATACATTATATGTTACCAAAAAAAAAAAAAAAAAAGTAGTAAGAAGGGAAAAATGAAGGGGGGGAAAATCAGAGGGGGAGATGAACCATGAGAGACTATGGACTCTGAGAAACAAACTGAGGGTTCTAGAGGGGAGGGGGTGGGGGATGGGTTAGCCTGGTGATGGGTATTAAAGAGGGCACATATTGAATGGAGCACTGGGTTTTATACACATACAATGAATCATGGAACACTACATCAAAAACTAATGATGTAATGTATGGTGATTAACATAACATAATAAAATAAAATTTTAAAAAATTAGGCAAAAATAAACTGAAAAGTGTGAGCAAAAAAAACCCCAAAACAAACAAACAAAAAGACCTAGACCTTCGTCCCTTAGATGTCTGAGTCTTTGGTTATGGGGCCCTTTATCAGGCCATTGTTGCTACAAATTCTTTTTTCCTTTCTGTTATTACTGAGCATAAAGACATCAGTAGATACCATAGTGTTCCCCCACAAGGTCCAATACATTTCTCTATGCCTTTATTATGTGGCAGCGACATTAGAAATTCATGATAGCCGAGTCAGTGACACTGTCGATTTACTAATTCCTTTACTTACTTGCTGATCTAAAGCCATGAGGAACCAAAAATGACTAGGCAAAAGTTAAAGCTTTAGCTTTGGAGGAACCCTCAGTATGTCCCCTGGAAGAAACATTTTCCAACTGGGGTTGAAGACCTTGAACTCTTCAGAGTCTAACGTTGCAGGAGTGAGCAGCACAAGCTCCCCAATGGGTCACCTGCGGGAGAAGATGATAGTTGTCAATCCTCTCAATATTTGTTTTCTGCACCTGTGCATTTTAGTACTGGGGTCCTTCTCTTTTTTGGTTAGCTATCTCCTGATTTCAAGTGACCTCACAAGTTCTGTAGAACCATTTAAAATTGTCCTTACAATAATGTACAGGGATTAGCGTCACTTTAATTTCAGCATTAAGTAAGACTCAGTTTTCAACATCTCTTGAAAGATCTTGGATATTTTTTTTTCTCAATACACAATTACTCTGGCACAGGGCCAGAGGTCTTTAAGGAGAGTTTAGCATAACATTTATTGTATATGCTTTTGACAGCATAACACAGTCTTTCCTCAAGAGGATGATCTCCATTTTGCTCACAGAATCCTGTATCTGAGGCTAGCTCAGGTTTGGAAACTGAGCAAAGGATGGTGATTTTTTTGTTGTATAGGCTAAGAAAAGCCTTGAGATTTCTCTGCAAATCAAGCAATACCTTTATTTATTGCTCATTTATTTCACTGCCAGACACATCACAGTCTCTTAGCCATCAGAACAGAACACTGCAGGTGAAAGACCCCTTTTGTGCCATTTTAGTATTGCTGTGCTTTATTGTAATTATGTTTACTTTGCCTGGCTTTTGCTGGTCTGGAACTGTCTTCATTGTCTTCACTGACATTAGGAGCCTCTCTCTCATGGAATCATCATCTCCTGTGATTTTGGTTCTATGGAGGACAGTCCCACTGAGTTCCTCAAAGATGCTGGTGTTCTCCACACTAACACACACCCTCTTGGGTACATCAAGTATTGCCAGATCCCACGTTCTTATATATTCAATATCTTGGACATATTTTAGCATAAAGACCCACTAAGGCCAAACACTTTCTTCCATGTAGTTTTTCTACCTTTACTATTAAATCCTAGGATGGAATTTCAGCAGTGTCTACCCCCAGCTGTAGGAAATGAAGATCTTTAAAAAATGTCCATGAAGGTCTTCTGTCTTTCCCAGCATTCTCTAATTTATAGGTAGCTAACTTCAGGCTGGCATTTTATTTCTCCAAAGTTTCCAATGCAAATAAAAAGTAAGTTATTTCCATGATTTTCAAAATTGTCCTTACATTGTCCCTGGACAGTTTAAATATTAGAGCTATTCCATAAGTCAAAGTTGTCTCTCTCTTCCACCTCAATCCCATTCCAAAGAAGGTGAGACTACTAATGAATGTGATGCCAAAAGCAGAGCTTGAGACAAGGACTTATTAAAATGTAGTTTATTTGGAAGGTGATTCCTAGAGACAGAAATGAAGGGATGAGGAAAATGACACAGGAAAAGGAAAAAAAAAAAAAAAAGCTTATTCCCACTGAGAACAATTGGGACTCAATCCCACTGAAAGTAACTAGGACTCATCCCACTGTGAGCCTCAATCTCTTTAAGAACTGTGTTGAATGCACCTCTGAATGAAGAACAAGAGCTTGGGCCTTCATCACGAACTCCTGAGCTCCACTGATCGATGGATTGGTCCATGGACATTAATGCATTCCTGGGCTGCTTTGCTGGTATTGCCTGAGTTACTGTACCAGAGAAGCAGTGAATGTGGCTGGTGTTTCATATGGGATGTGATAAGTGTGATGTGCTCTGTCTATGACAAATGCAGCTTAGGATGGGCCAAGGGTGTGTGGCATAGGACACAAAAAGAAGCATTTCCCTTATATACATGATCTCATTTATACTCACAATGTCCATTTTACAGATGAGAAAATTGAATGCCAATAGTCATAAATCAAACAAGAAGGTTCGATACATGATAACAAGTGCTCCAAAAGGTATATTATTCTTTTCAATCAAACCAAAGGTATATTGCTCCTTTCAGTCAAACAAAGAAATTAATTTTTTTCCAAATCTTAATTAAAATATTTTTCTATGAGGGACTCATTGCTTTTTTAAAGAAGTTTTGTGGATTGGGGTTGAGAAAGGAAGTGATAAAACAGTGTGTTATTGTCATAGATAAGCAATGCCAATCAGAGGCAAAGAGGCAATGATACACATACATGGAACTCAAGGAAAGCATTTTTGAGAGTATATTAGTTTTGTTTTTTTTGTTTTTTTTTTTTGCTGCTATAACAATGAAAATCTTCGCTTAAAACAACACAAATTTATTATCTTACAAGGATTCCAACTCGGCCGATTTCTTTCCTCTGGGGTTCGACATTTTCAGAAGGCTAAAATAAAGATGTTGGCCAACTTGGCTTTTATCATGAGTTCCTGGGAAGAATCTACAGATCTTCTTCAACTTATGATGGGGTTATGTCAAATAAACCCATTGTAACTTGAAAATATTGTAAGTCAGAAATACATTACTACACCTAACGTACTGAAATGAGAACTTAGCCTAGCCTCCTACCTTAAAGATGCTCAGAACACTTGCATTAGCCTACAGCTGGGCAAATCATCTAACACAAAGCCTATTTTGAAATAAAGTATTAAATATCTCATGTAATTAATTGAATACTGTCTGAAAGTGAAAAACAGAATGATTCTAAGTGTATCAGTTGTTTACTCTTGTGATCATATGGATGACTGGGAACTGCTGCTCGTAGCCACTGCCCAGGATCAGGAGAGTATCACACTGCATATCGCTTGCCCAGGAACAGATCAAAATTTAAAATTCGAAGTACAGTTTCTACTTCATGTGAATCACTTTTGAACCATGGTAAAATAGGAAAATCGTACATCAGATCATCATAAATTTGGGACCATCTGTATTTCCAAACTCACACAGGTTTTTGGAAAAACCCATTCCTTGTAGTTGTAGAATTGAGGTTCCCATTTCCTTGCTGGCTGTGTGACTGGGGCTGCTTGTGGCCTTGCCAGGTCCTTCCATCTCAGAGCCAGTAAGGGCTCATCAAATATGCTTATGTTTAGAATCTCTCTGACTTTCCCTTCTGCCTTATTTTGCATTCTGCCCTTTCTTTCTGCTTCTAGCCAGGAAAGGTTCTCTGCTTTTAAGGACTGCCACGATTAGATTGAACATACTTGGATAATCCAGGTTATCTTTCATATCTTTGAATCTGTGATCTTAATTACATCAGCAAACTCTCTTTTGCCATGTAACATAACATACTCATGCGCTCCCAGGATTAGGGGTTGGACATCTTGGGAGAACCATTCTGTCTACCAGAGACTTAGTGAGCTTTAAAAAGTAGCAGAAGTGGTTTGGAGATAGGTTTTAGAGGGCTGTGAATGAGAAGAATACATTCACTCTTCCAACAAATATTTGAGTAAATGCTGCTTTCTACCATTCTGGTTTAGAATTTTTGCTCTTGAGCAATAGGATATTCTTGAAATTATTGAGCAGAAAAGTAGTAGAATAAAAAAATTCTGCTTTAGAAATATATCCTTGTCAGTAGGCTATGGGGACATACTTGAAGCAGAATAAAGACTGATGATTTCTCCATTTTTATAACTGCATTTTAAGCGGAGAGTGCTTCCATTTTGGAAGCAGGTAATGGAAAAATAAAAAAAAAGGATGTCTTTGAGGAAAGGTGCAAAGTCATCATTGACAAGACTTCATGCTTGGTATACAAGGGATGAAGGAGATAAGGACCATGAATGATGACTGGGGTAATTTGAGGAATAGCAAAATGTCCATTACGATAATTCTGGTTCAAAAAGAACAAAGCAAGAGCCCCAAATCATTGAAATGCTATGCTCAAATAGAGGCACCAGGTGAGCCAGCAGCAAACAATGAGAATAAAAGCACCAATTTTTGCATTCTCACTTCATTGTTCTTTCCACTGTTGTTGCAGGCTGTCAAGATGGATGTTGCCTGTCCTGATGTGTGTTCTATCACTTTGACTCACCCACCAGTGAAGCTCAACCAGCTATTCAAGTTTCATTCTTGCCTATTTACAGGAACAAAATGTCATCTCGGTAAGTGTCTTTGCAACAAATACATAGGAGAGATTGGAACAAAGCACAGGCCAAAAATATAAAAAAATGGACTCAGATTGAGAATACATTTGAACCAATTGAAGATCACAAGTTGTGGTTAAGTTAATCCTACCACTAGGGGAGGGTTGACATTTTTCTTACACATATTCAGATGTTGTCTCCTCTACTACGTGAACCAGAAACATTATGAAGAAATAATGGAATAGACACAGAGTATGACACATATGGTGGGCATTTGTTTGAGCATCTCTGGATAGGAGACTATTAAAAAAAAAAAACTCTGCAGAACTTTTAAGAAATTATTCATTTAAATCTATAGCTTGGCGAATATTTTACTGCTTCAGTTCTCCTACTTAAAAATAGTGTTTATTTTTAGATTAATTTAACAGATATAAACACAACAATGTTGAAGGTCATACTACAATCTGAAACGGTCTTGAATGTTTTTGGTTTGGCTTCATGAAAAATGCATTGTGCCAAACACTTTTTCTCCTTAATTTTTAAGCCCTTGTGTATTTTTAAAGAAAATGCAATCCACATGTCTCTTATGCATTTGTACTTAACTCATCAAATTCCTCTTGTATAAGAGTGACTGGGAGACCAAAAAGACTTTGGAATTTATTTATTTTCCTTTGAAGCTCTTTTTATTAGGAAAGGAATAGCATATTCTTGGGGATAATTCTTTTTAGATGCCCAGGTGTTCAGTTTTTCAAGTATATAAATAACATAATCTAGAAGATCTACATTTGTCCTCCTGTCTTATTTCCCCTTGTCTATTAATATAGTGGTAATCTTCATCCTTTTCATTACAATCAGTTGTGATGGTATTATTATGGTATGATTTACCATTATTGTTGTTATAAACTTAATAGGAACATTAGTGTTAATGGGGTTATAAAAATATTTTTATGACCTCTTTATTTACAAAGTGCTTTAACTTCCTATTAATTGAAGACTCAAGTGGAAAAAGATTTCCAGGCTTTGTAGTGTACTCACCTATTTCATTTTCTGATAGACTGTCAGGGAGAGAGAATTTGCCAATTGCTTTATGTCCCCCCAAAAGCTTTCAGTTTATCCATCTTATTTCCACTTTTACGATTTTAAGTGTGCTATTCATCTCCCTTAGCTATTGTAGCCTTCTCTATTAAAATTCTTGTACAAAGGTCTGTCTTTGAAATCTGAATTAAATCTCACTTCCCTTAAACCATTTAATTGTGGAGCTGAGTCTGTCCTGCTCATTCCATTTATGGCCTCTTTTAACCTGTGGATACTACATTGTCTTAATTTGCTTATTCTTTGAATTATAGCCTGTTACAGGATTTTAGGTATTCCTAAATAATCATGTAGATGTGTGTTCTGAAACCAAAGAGAGACCCAAGATCTTTTAAAGTAAGGTCTATGTCTTTTTTTTTCCTTCACATCTTCTCATTGTACTTAGTTCTGATTGCTACAATTTATGATCTCAGAAATATGGCTGGTTGGTTGTTAACTTGCACTGTTTTTATGTAGCATGTGCTACTTGTTTGCTTTATGGAAAAAAAAACCACAGCAAAATACTAGATAAAAGTGGATTTTGACTCAGTTTCTTTTTAAAATTAGATTATAAGTTTGTAATTTATTGTAATGTGAGGTTGGGCTCTTAAGATATTAACTAGGGTCTTGAAAACATATTGCACACAAAAAGAATAAGTGGTGAACAAGACCTTAATAAAAACTGCCAGTTATAAAATACTTTTCATTTGCAAGACAGATACTGATTGACCACAAGCAGCAGGGCGTTGCTTAGGCTTTGTGCTAGCTGCTGGGGTGAAGAGAGGAACAATGACCTTTCCTCTCAGACAACTGTCTGTTTTGAGAGTCACCAATGTAGACAGTATCAACTCGGTGTGAAAAGTGATAGGACCAAGGGAGAAGAGTAGAAGCAAGCAGAGGAAACACTTTTGGAGAGGTCTCAAAGTTAAGCAGGCTGAATAAACTAAGCAATATAACAAGCAAAATAAAAGCCTTTATTTAATAGACACATAGCGCTTGCTTGTGTTGGTTATTATTTTAAGTATGTCACAAACATTAACTCCTTCAATCTTCGTAACTATCCCATGGATAACACTGTTGCGATCCTAATTTTACATGTGAAATACACAAAATAGTTAAGTGAATTGCCCAAAGTCAGCTGTGCCCAAAGTCAGTGGGCACAGCCAGAACTTAAATGTAGGCAGTGTGCCTCCAGACCCCCAGTTCTTAGTTCCTATGGGAGCCTTCCAATATGGAATTTACATACTCATGAAGGAGCAACACACACAGCGAGTGGTTTGGCATTGCCTGAGGGCAACTTGAAGCCAAAGAAGTAAATGCGAACAATGTCACATTGAAAAACCAGGATTTTATCTTAAATGAATCATTGTAAACATGGGAATGACAGGGTTTTATTTCAACAATAGAAAGAACACTCTCCAACCTCGTGGAGTATGGGATATGAAATGACATAGAAAGAGCCAGTGGACGGCATTTGCAATAACATGAGTGAGAAAAACAGTGGAAATAGTGTTGGAGGAAAGCTGAGGCTCATGAGGGTTATTTTAAGGTGGACATTTGAGGGCTGGTAAGCTGTTGATGTTGGATAAAAGAAAGTCACGCCTGGAGTGATTCCTCTGTTCCTGATGAGGACAACAAGGTAGATAGTGGTGTTGATTGAGATAGGGAAGAAAAAAAAAGAACGTTAGAAAATACTCATAATACAATGTAAAAAAAAAAAGTAGAGCTCAGAAGTATATATTCTTAATTGTCCTTTAAAAAATATGTGTATAATATACACACAGAAGCTCTGGTGAAAAGGGGAACAATTATTCATTATAAATGATATACATTTTTAGTAGATTTAAAAAATTTTCTCCTGTATTTTCAAAAGTTTTTGCAATGAACATGAATTATAGTTCCATTAAACTAAAAATAAATGTTACTGGAAATATTTTATTTACTTTTTAAATTTTAACCGCTCCCCAATGGTTGGGGCTCAAACTCACACCCTGAGATCAGGAATCATATGCTCCATCGACTCGGCCAGAGGAGCACCCCTGTTACTGGAAGGAAATATTTTAAACAGTGATCTTATTTAATGTTAATTGGTACAATCTTCCTGGAAAGTAAAATAAGGTACTTACCAAAGGTAGCTCTATTTATTAACCTTGGATCAGGAATTCCCCTCTTAAGAAGCTATTTTAAAATAATATATAATTCTCATGTTTATTTATAATTATATTTATTGTAATGCCATTTATGATACCAAAAACTTGGCATCAATAGTAAGAGTTGTTGAAATGAATTATAGGGCGCCTGGGTGGCTCAGTTGGTTAAGCGACTGCCTTCGGCTCAGGTCATGATCCTGGAGTCCCGGGATCGAGTCCCGGGATCGAGTCCCGCATCGGGCTCCCTGCTCGGCGGGGAGTCTGCTTCTCCCTCTGACCCCCCCCCTCATGTGCTGTCTCTCTCATTCTCTCTGTCTCAAATAAATAAATAAAAATCTTTAAAAAGAAAAAAGAAATGAATTATAGTACAAATGTGTGAATGCATGTTACACACTCATTAGAACAGTTACAACAATATTTAATCACCAGGGAAAATACTTAGGATATATGAAAATAGTAGGGTATGAGTTGTTTTTTTTTTAATAATGTTTTTTTTTTTTTTAAGATTTTATTTATTTATTTGACAGAGAGAGACAAAGTGAGAGCAGGATCACAAGCAGGGGGAGAGGGAGAGGGAGAAACAGGCTCCCTGCTGAGTAGGGAACCTGATGCGGGGCTCGATCCCAGGACCCTGGGATCATGACCTGAGCCGAAGGCAGATGCTTAACAACTGAGCCACCCAGGCACCCCGGGTATGAGTTTTTTGTTGCTATTCACATAAGATATTTCTGAGTGGAAAGGGATACTGATTTTCTTCTTTAACTTTTGTATTTTTCAAAATCTGTACAATGTGCCTACATATTTACTTATAATAATAAAATAGTGTTTAGTTTATAGCCTGAATACTATTACTGATCATTTAATCAGTAATGAGCTGATTCAAATTTCAAATGGGCTAACATTTGGATTTTAAGTACACAACCAAAAAGCAGTGGAAGAGTCACCTGGATTATAAGGTTGGCTATATCAGGGGAGGCAGTTGGTCAAAATCATGATTGCATAGGAGAATAAGTATGGAGACCCAATGATTATATTAAAAAGTATGGTTTTCAGGAGTATTTGAACATAATAAGAGGAATCATAGCTTTGAACTCAAACACTAAAATTCGGAATTTCAGGTACTGAGAAGATAAAAGGGTATTTGTTGGGGCATTATCATTTTGGGATTTGTGAAGAACAATGTTCAGGGTGCACACAAAGATGGCTGCCTCTTCTGCTTGTGTTTTAGGCAGGTGCGGCTTGTGTCACTATGCTTGCTTGCTGGGATAAATTGACTAATATTGAGAAATGGTAGTAATAGGATTTGACTTGTATGGGAAAAGTGAATCTTGAAGTGGCCATGTTTCTCCTATGCCCCATGAAAAGTGACAGAATCTGTAGAAAATTCTTTATCTTCATGTAACTTTTCCCAGTTTTTGAGGGAAACATAAATATTTTAATTTCACAAAGCTAAAAATCATAGGGTGTTAAAATAATTGAAGTGATGGTATCCATAGATAAATATCCTTAACTGAATGTAAACTGAGTACTTTTATACTAACCTTTAATATTAATAAAGGTGATATTTATTGAATGAGTACTACGTGCAAGTACTTTCAATACATTATTATATTTAATCCTCAGAAGAGACAATACTTAGGGCTCAGAAACAGGGCTGGGAGTGTTTACATTGATTTTTGTCATGGGGTTGCCTGGTTAGTAAGCAACAGACTTAATTAGAGAAGTAGGTAGCATTATCTACACTTGATAAATGAGGGAATTAAGTCTAAGAAAGTGTAAATAATTGGCCCCAAGTCACATTACTGGAGTACAAGTGTTGGCATCAAGATTCAAATAGGATTTGGTTTGTGCCCACAGTGTTTCCAGTATTCCTGGAAAATAGTATAGCACTCCTATCCTTTAAGGACACTCCTGAGAATATGACATGTTAATGCTGAATCTTTTCTCTATACAGATACCTGTTAAATATTTCTTGTGCTGCTTGTTTGTTCCTTTTGTGGTCATACCTCCTATATACAGCTGTTAACAATTTAATTTTTATAGTAATTTATCACATGGCCTGTATATCTTTGTACTACCATGATTCTCTTCTAGAATAAAAAGACTTGTCCTTCCTTCCCCACATCTCTCCTTCTTTCTTTCTTCCATCTGTTTCTATCCCTTCCTTTCTTCTTTACTATCTTTTTAAAGAAGTTTATCTATAGATTTAAACCTTCTAGGATTGGGAGGAGGGGAGATTTGATATGGGGGTGGGTGTGAATTTTTATTCTGTGGTTCTTTATTTTACCAAGGGCAGACAAATAATGGAAGCAGTTTTTTACTTCAATGACTTTAACAAAATATTTATGTTGGAACTCATTGTTCTTCAGTTTTGCCGGTTCTTATGAAGTAAGAATCATTATCCTCATTTTGCAGGTGAGTAAACTAAAACTCAGATTAAATGGTGCATCTAAAACCATTCAAGAAGGAAGTATTCTGAATGTGGATTTCTACCCAGAGCTGCTCCATGTCAATGCTCATGATTTCTTTTCTATTCACATACTATCTTCCTTTATTCCAAAGCATAGGACTACAAGATATCAGGGATGAAAGAACACTTGAGATTACTTATTCCAACTATGTCAATATATGTTTTAGGAAACTGTTGCTCAGAAGAATTAGACCGCTTATTTACTTACAATCATATAACCAACTACTACAGTACCATATTATGACTGTGGTTGTTTTCTCTATTTCAGGAATTGAAAAATTGGCCCAAATTCTTTGGCTTACTAGGTTTGAATGAAAAGATAGACTCCTGAAGTGGGATGATGAATTAGAAGAAGATGATCCATGGGGACCGATGAATATTTTGTGCAGTAAAAACTGTACCTTGGCTTCAATGTCAAGCATCAGGGCACAAGGATTAGAGGTGAACTTTGACTCCCCCTACTTCAGCTAGACACTCTTGGGTTGTGTACAAATTCATAGACCATTTGCAATAGATCTTCACAGAGATGGGACTCTTCAAAGACCTTTCTTTGGTCTCCCATGGTATCCTTTAGCATATGACACATGGTGTTGCCCTGCTGCTCTAGTCTCCATTTGGGGTGTATTCTTGATATGTTACAACAACCAGGGCACTGATTTCTGCTCTAAATTTGTTCTTAGAAGCAGCTTGGTCTTATGCCAATATCAACAGTGCTTTCATCCTTAGGGCTCTAAGGCACTCCAATGTACAGTCATATGAACTGCCAACTCCATTGTGCTAAGTCCTTTCTCAATAGGCCCTTTGGGGTTATATTCAATTATACTTTCACTCATAGGATTTTAACATTGTAGGTCAAAATTAGACATCTTGTTTGACTAATTATAAACAATATATTGCTTAGCTTATGTCATACCTTGTATAAAGCTGTTTGTGTTCATGGTTGTCTCCCACTGTAGTAGATTGAAAGTCTTACTTGCAGTGACAGCTTTGTGTGTTTTGTACTATTCATCTGTTTGGTCTTGGTTTTCCTCTTTTTTTTTAAAAAAAAATATTTATTATTTGAGAGAGAGAGAGAGTGGGGGGAGAACAGAGGGAGAGGGAGAGAGATAATCTCAAGCAGACTCCCTGCTGAGCACAGAGCCCAATGTGGGGCTCGATTCCAGGACCCTGAAATCATTACCTGAGTGGGAATCAAGAGCTGGAGGTTTAACCACCTGAGCCACCCCAGTGCCCCAGTTTCCTTCTGTTTTGAATGGACGTACTGCCTTGTCTCCCATAAGATACCTTATGAGATTATTTCCAAAATTAAAAGGCCTATCGAATGTGAAATGGATAATAAATAATTGCTAATTTTATTAGTAGGTACTATATAAGTGTTTGTTGGACCAAATGAGATATTCAGGCTCTTAGATTCACATATGGAGGTCAGTATCCTTGCTGTCACTAATTAAAAAAAAAAAAAAAGAAAAAGGAAGAAACTGTGAAGAATCTGTAGAGAAACTTTTTTCTCTTAGTAAAGAAAACATGGGTCTTTGTTACTACGTTTACAATATAATTTCAATATTAAATCTGTTTAAGGCAGGGTCACCAACGTGGTGGTTTTTTTTTTTTTTTTTACACATATAGTTATAATTTTTTTAGATGTGTTCAAGATCAGGAGACTATCTAAATGAAGAATTTGGAATCTCTAAAAATTGGCCTTCACTCCTCAAAGATGGCTCAAAAGCAAAGTGTTTCTTGTGTTAGATGTTGGTTTTCCTTAAACATATTTAAGTGCAGTTAATTATGAAGTTCTTAGGTCACTTATTATAGAAAAAGATGGATCCAAAGACTTGGATCAAGATACGGGCTGGATACAGTTAAGAATACAACTTTGGTTCAGTGAAGGAATGCTGGGTGGTGGGTACACATTGAACATGGATGTATTAATACAAATAAAGTATCCCAAGAAATCCCAAGCATATCCCAAGCATACTTTCTTAATTTAATGTATAGGGCTAATATTCTCTAGAACAGTAAAAGCATTGATACAAAAGAGTTGATATACTATAAGCTGTTGCAGGATAATATGAATACTTATTCATTATTCAATATATATGTAGGAAATGCTTATTTCATATTATTCACTTGCCTAAAAAACCTGAACACCATGCCAAAGGAAGAAGATGATGATGATGATGGCAACAATTATATTAATAATAATGCCATTTATTCTGCTTTTTCCACTTTCTAGGCTCTACGCCAAAAACTTCACAAACAATAAAATTGATCTTTGCTTAATTCTGTATACAATAGGAAAAAAAAAATTCTGTATACAATAGGAAAAGGAAATGATTATTCCTGATTATTTAGAGATGAGGAAACTGATGCTCAGGAAAGGTAAGTGATTAACCCCAAATCACACATGGAGTAAATGATGTGTTTGGGCAGAATTCAAACTGAAGGATGGCAGACTTTGAAGTCTGTCAAGTGTTTGAACCACTTTGGAGTGAGAAGCAATAAAAATAACATGACCAAAGTTATTTGCCTGAAGGCAGATTTAGGGGATGCAACTCAGAATTTTTCTTCTTTATAAAGGTTTGGGGCTTTAATGAACAGTGAAATCCACTTTGGTGTAGAGGTTTAGCATGTAGACTTCAAGGCCTTCCTGCTTCTGATTTTGAACCCTGCCTCCACAACTTGTGTGCTATTTGATCATAAAAAGCTATTAGATACTTGGTGCTGATTTCCTATTTTTGACATTGAGTTAATAGTATTTACCACATAAGAGAGATATTCTCTCTCTCTGTTTCTGTTTCTTTCTCTCTCTCTGTGTTTATATCTGCGTATATATATCTCTACATATATACATGTGTCATATATCATCTATCTATTTATCTATCTATCTATCTATCTATCTATCTATCTATCTATCTATCTATCATCTATCATCTGTCTATTCTCTATGTATCTTAGAACAATTCCAGGTAATAGTAAGTACTGTGTACGTGCTGGATGTATCGTCAACATCATCATCAATGTATCTGAGTTTCACTGCATCTGTTGCTTATTCCAATGAAGTCCTTCTGTACTTTAGCTCAACATTATTTAAACTACAGTGGTGAGACAGAAATAAAATTGCTTGAGACTTGTAGGAAAAAAGACAATATTTCTAAATATTTCAGTGCAGGGTGATTTTTTTTCTTTTCTCCCAAGACCCTCTGAATTTTCAAATTTCTACATGAACTAAGTCATTAACAGCCTAGGGCCTGATTCAAAGTGCTCACTGAAAAATAATTATAAAAGTTGAACTTTGTTACTTTGTTACCCCCAAATGTACTTTTTCCTAAATTGCTAACCTAAAACAGCTCCCCCGCCTCCCACCCCCATCCTGATATCAACTAGTCCAAAGGCAAAAGCAAACTCTCTCTCATAGCATTGGTTATGTGCCACTAAATTTGACTTTCTCTTCTCCAAGTAGAGATAACTTAGAGAAATTTGAAGGCATGCTGAAAAAATAATGACGTGTTGGAGATCATACCAAATGCTTTTATTGGTTTCATAGTAAAAGTCATTATTTGCCAAGTTTATAGAAGAAAATACTGCAACATAATTTTTGGCCAATTTCTTTTTTTTTTTTTTAAGATTTTATTTATTCATTTGAGACACAGAGATACAGAGAGAGAGCAAGCATGAGCAGGGGGGGAGGCAGAGGGAGAGGGAGAAGCAGGCTCCCAAGGAGCAGGGAGCCCGACGTGGGGCTTGATCCCAGGACCCTGGAATCATGACCTGAGCTGAAGGCAGACGCTTAACCATCTGAACCACCCAGGCACCCCAGGCCAATTTCTCATATGTTAGTTTTACTTCTTTGTTCCTAGCATCAGAGAATCATATTTTTCAGAGATTTTAGAATATGGGCTTACTGTTCAGTTATCATATTATTTATTATGTTGTGGTTTATTTTTAAAGGAGACACTGTAATCCCTTGGTTAAGTGTGCTGATTTTTAGTCAAAACTCCAAAAGGAAAATACATAGGTGTATTTGAACCTGAACAATAGGTTAATACGAAAATCAATTTACATCAGTTTACCCCCCAAAATTATCTTTTTCTGAAAAAAAAAAAAAAATAGACTAAGTTGCTTTCCTTTTCAAACCTATAATGTGCTAATTTTGAGTATCTTGACCACTGGGTAGTTAAATAGGCACAAAAGTTTTGTAACATTCCAACATAGGTAGTTGATTATAATAATACATCACTGCCACTGAAGCCCATTAATAGTTAAAAATTGTCATTCTTCATTTTCATAGTAGGAAAAAAAAGTACGTATCTATGTGATGATCAGAAATTAGTTTCTTGCCATCTATATTGCTAAATTTTATTTTTCTTTTATTTATTTATTTTTTTAAAGATATTATTTATTTATTTGACAGAGAGAAACACAGTGAGAGCAGGAACACAAGCAGGGGGGTAGGAGAGGGAGAAGCAGGCTTTCCGCGGAGCAGGGAGCCCGATATGGGACTCGATCCCAGGACCCTGGGACCATGACCTGAGCCGAAGGCAGACGCTTAACGACTGAGCCACCCAGGCGCCCGCTAAATTTTATTTTTCAAGACTGACTATTTTTGCTACAAAATTAATAGTGTATTTTCTCTTGGTTAACTACCAGAAAGCAAAGTTATTTTTTCTTGAATATCACATTTTCTTTCTTTCTTGAATATCACAATATTTGTTTAAAGATATTTAGTGGTTTTTTTTTTTTTTTGAAAGTGTTGTTACTCTAGCATGAAAATAGGTTTATGGTATCTCTGCAGCTGAAATATCAACTTGAGACTAAGTTGAAGTATGTGAAATTCCTCTAGTCTTTCTTGTGTAATCCTCAAATTCCTTGGAGTACTTCACATTGTAACAACAAATGTATGCTGTCCTTTAAGTGCTATTGTTCCATTTATCTAATTGGTCCCAATAATGTAGCTATCAGATAAGCTTTCTTTTACTGCCATCTGATCCCATTTATGAACAGTATCCATCATTTCTACATGATAACATAAAACATGTCTTTTTAAGACTGGTTCTTTTAAACAAGCCAGCTATTTCTTCTGTATAATGTCTTCCTGCGCTGCTGTTCTGTGGGAAACATAAATCTATTTTCTTTGTGTGAGGGGTTTCCTCTGAGACATAGAGTATTAACTTAGTTCCTATATGCAGTGGATTCTTCAGGAGGTGAAAATTTGTGTATTTTGTTGAAGGGATAATAAACATTTATTATAAAGACAAAAACACAACAAATATGCACACAAACACATAAGAATGCATGCACATACACATGCATATATACATATAAGACCACTGATGTTGGTTTGGGTACATGAGACCATAAGACAATCTGGAATGATGGCTACATTTAGTCATCTGATCTAATGACAGGTGCACACTTTCCTTGTTTATCTCTATGATCTATAAACTCATCAAGGAAATTTACCACTTACTATTCTTGGGATAGACATGGAAAATTCCAAAGATTTAAAAAGGAACAAGCTACTGGGGATAGAGATTCCATCTAAATAAGGCAAGCTCCAGACAATTTTCAACTTTATATTAATAAGGAAAATCTATTAGCAAGGCTTTTTACAATTTACATTTTTTTGTTTGTTTTTTATTTTGTACCATAGCTTGTATCTTTGGACAGTCACTACAGGATTATGAGTCAAGGAAAGTTGTGGTGGTCTCCATGAAAAAATTGGGACCCAGTGTGGTTAAATAAATGGCAATAGGTTACATAGCATTACATGGCAGAACCAATAAGCATCTAGGCCTTTGCCTCCCAAATCACTAATCTTCAAATTGTACCATTTAAACAAATCCATAATTTTAAAAAGGAAAGGTTTTCTCTCTCTTACTACTTATAATATTCAAACGAGCATCCATGATCCCTCACTTTGGCCTCACTGCCTCACTGGTTTGATTTTACTCACCAACAGCTGAGATAGGCTTAGTTCACTCATTTATTCAACAAATATGTAACTGGACTGAGATAGAAATCAATTCCCTGTATATACAATCAGGGAAGTCTTTTCATCTAAATTTATACATTTTTATTGACATAAACAAGTTGCATATTAAAGTGGTCAATTTATTTGTCCACTTAGACAGCTTACAGCAAGAATATGGTTACTAAGAGTATTATAACATAGGACTGGAATTTTATATTGACCCCATTGAATCAGTTGTTACATTACCACATTAATCAAAATAACTTTTAAATTAGATAGTTATTTCTGTTGCTTTGGACATAATAATCGCCCTGATGAATGTTGAACTTTGAAAATGGAAGCAACTTCTAAAAACAAGGATAATGCAAAAATATAAACATGGCAGTACTTTGCCTCTCTTTGTACAGAGAACTGTTACAGTGTTGCTGCTTTTGGCAAGAAACAGTCTGTTCTATGGCCATGATGTGGCTCCCTGATACAAAAGCAGCTAAGAGCATCCAAATGACATAATAGGAATACAATTATGGCTCTCAGAGAGTCTGGTCCATTGCTAGTCATCTCTGAATTGTACAGATTGAAGAAGTAATATGAGCACTTTTTGGGGTAATTTAAATACGTGTGTTTTCTACTCATTTCTGGATAATAATGGTTTCAGATTTGTTCCTTAATTAGTCGTATAGAAATTTTAGTGGTATATTGGCTTACATTAATAAAAGAACAGTCTGAAAAAAAATAAAAGAAACTGTGTTTGTCTGAAAAACACTAGACTATCACAAACAAGTAGATCTGTGTCCAGGCACAGCTATGTATGCATTTTGGGAAGTGGGAAAGCAAATCACAATTTTTACCTTCTGAAAAACAAATCTGGTACTTAAAAATAAGCAAGCTTTGTCTTTATTCTTCAGGCTTTTATATCTCTGCGTAGAAGTCCTTAAGAATATGAAAAAGTGAAAGAAATTCTATATATTTTAAAACATTAAAAATGAGTTATATTGTTATTATATAATACTTTAAAACATAACATTTCCAGCCATGTAGTTTCGGTTCTAGACATAAAGGAATTCATTTGCTGAAGCAACAACTCTAAATTGATTACATATATTTTAGGATTAGGTTAATTACATATTCATGTATACACGAATGTGGTACATCTTATTATGCCAACAAAAATAGCTTTGTTAAAGACCATAGTATAGTGGCAACAATTTAGAATCTGTCACATCTGACCCTGTTACTAGTGGAACAATATTCTTTAACATACTTAGGCCCAACTTAGTAGGAACAATAATTATAATACCTACATCTTAGAGTTTCTGTGAGGTTCAGGGTATAATAAAGTAATTGTTACATGGTATTTAATAGGGGAGAGTTGTTTTAAGAAAAACTGCTTTTAACTATAAGCCATCAT